TGTTCCCTCTGTCTGGAACCCTCTTCCCCCACATATTTGCATGGCTAATCCTTTCACCTTCTTCGAGGCCACCCAAATGTTACCTTCTCAATGAGGTTTACCCTTGCCACCTATTTATTTTTTTTAAATATATTTTTATTGATTTCAGAGAGGAAGGGAGAGGGAGAGGGAGATAGAAACATCAGTGATGAGCCCTAACCGGTTTGGCTCAGTGGATAGAGCATCGGCCTGCGGACTCAAGGGTCCCAGGTTTGATTCCAGTCAGGGGCATGTACCTTGGTTGCGGACATATCCCCAGTAGGGGGTGTGCAAGAGGCAGCTGATCGATGTTTCTCTCTCATCAATGTTTCTAACTCTCTATCCCTCTCCTTTCCTCTCTGTAAAAAACCAATAAAATATATTTTTTTAAAAAAGAAACATCAGTGATGAGAGAGAATCATTGATCGGCTGCCTCTTGCATGCCCCCTAATGGGGATTGAGCCTGAAACCTTGGCATATGCCTTTGACCAGAATCAAACCTGGGACCCTTCAGTCTGCAGGCCAATGCTCTATCCTCTGAGCCAAACTGACTAAGGCACCCTTTCCACATATTTAAATTTGCACACGGGATATATATTTTACCTATTATGCTCATCATTTATTGTCAGTGCCTCAATGTCCCCCCTTTACCCCTCCCTCTAACATGTAAGTTTCAGAAGGCAGGGAATATTTGTCTTCTTAAGTTTATTGGTAAATTTTAACCACCCAAAACAGTACCTGATAAATAGGCTTCAAATGAATTTTTGTTGAATAAATTGAATGCATAGATGTACATGTTATTTCATATTTCTCTTTTCACATGTTTTTCTCTATGTCTGAAATATCCCAATCCATTCTATTTCCCAAAGTCTACAATCTTATTGATATTTTTTTTTACTTCAAACATTTCTTGTTTATCTATTGGTTTCCCCAACTTCTTGGGTCAGGAGAATACATCTTATCTTTCTATGCCTATCTCCTAATACATATCAGAAAATAATAGGCACTTAATAAGTATTTGTTGAACTCAACTGACCTGAATAATGTTGTATTTCAAGAAAAGGACCTAAATGCATAGATCACATACAAATTGACCAAATTACACAGAAGAGCTCATTCTAAAACCGCCAATGACCTTTATTCCATAAGTTCTTTTGCTTAACACAGAAGGTTCTGGTATATCAAGTTGGATAACTGGTTGAGGCAAGTCTTAATGTTTGCAAATTGCATTTTGCCAGGGCTTCAGAAATTGTAATTAGGTCTTGAATAGCTAGTCTCAGACCAGATGGTTAGTACATTCTGATTTTTAGAATTGGGGAATGCTCCTTGGCTAAAAATAAATTAGAGAAGTGGACAATGGAATCACTATTACTTAGTTATTACATGTAGGGTATTGTGCCAGCGAGTTTACATATATTAACTCTTATACTTCCAGCAAACTTGTGAAATAGATATCATGTCTGTATTTTACAGATGAGGAAGCTAAGGTTCAGAGAATTAAATAGCTGTCCAAGGTCACACAGCAAGTAAGAGGCATGACTGGAATTTGACCCAAAGGCCCTGTGGAACAGAATCCCAGCCCTTGACTAGGTTGCTTCCCCTCCCACAGTGTGGGAGTTTTAGTCTCAGACTCATCTTCCTATGCATTACGAACTTACCCACCTGTTATATTGTCTTTGCGTCTGTGGTGTCTGGTTCTTTTATTCATCTGAACACAGTGTGGAATGTTTCCTACAATGTACTCATTCTTTCAAAGTTCAGACCCTATGGAAGTATGAAATGTAATAAAATTTAATGCTGGCCTGCAAATGCCACCAAGTATATCACAGAAGCCAACCAAATCGCAGGCCTGCTTGGAAGAAGTGCCCCTCTCAAATGAGCTCCCTGAAAAATCCCAACCACCCCTTTCACAGCGTGGACTGACTGACCTGCTTTGATTCTGAAGGGCAGGTCTATAAACCTGGACATGAACTTTTTTCATTTCCTGCTCAAGAATTTCCAATTTCTTAGCAAAAACAAAAACAAATAAAAGCAAGGGAGGAAGCAGTCAGGGAAGGTGGAAGGCGTACGGGAGAGGAAGTTTGTTGCAATTACATTTTGAACAGCGAGATATATGCTATGACCATCCCCTGGGACTGAGCAAAGAACAGGCCAGTTTCAAAAGGCTCTTTAAGGAGGATTGTTATGAATGACAGACTTGCCAAAGTACTGAGAAGCCTATTCCAAAGAAAAAAACTGTATTCAGTTTGGTTGCAGCCATCTGTTGTCATGACCGAGGCCATGAAGGGTAGAGGAATAAAAAGCTGTCATAGAGCAAGAGACCATATTCACCAATGATTGCTCAACCCACTGACTTAATTCCAGCCAGGAAAAGCATCAGTAAAGACATTTAATAATCGAAAAGCTTAGCTGAGTAGAAACATAAAGATGACAATTATGTAGCCCCCAAGGTCAAACGTGGATAATGCATGCCATGGGGAAGGCTGAAGATGCTTCCAGAAGCTTGACCTCTAGGACCTACTGGATACTCCACAGACAAGGGTGAGCAGAACTCGCTCTGTAACCAGAGAGCAATCAATCTGTTGGTGCACTGCTTATGCTGATAGTCTCTGTTCTGATGTCCCGTCATTTGTCTCTGTCATGATTGACCTTTGCCATAAAATGGACATCATTCAATTTTATGGCTGGGAGAGGCCTTCGAGATTGATCTTATCCACACCCCTCTCCCCCCATTTTACTGATGAAGTTTCTCAGACATAGATAGATTTAGGGAATTCAACTTTCAGGAGAACATGAAGTGCAATCGCAGAACACACATTCTGGATTTTCCAGGGTAGTGCTGAATTTGCATATCCTTCCTGGTTGGCCCCATGCGTATACCTGTATTTGTCAGAGCATGTGTTCCGTTTGAGATTTGGGAAAAATATGATCACCTTATGGCTCAGAAAATAAGGTTGGAGAAAATAAAATGTTCATAAAATCTAGTTTGGCTTGTGCATCCACGCCGAGGTGCACAAACCAGTAAAAGAAAGAGAATAAAAACAGGTACTTGTTCAAGCTTTCATGGAAATATGTGTTTTGGGGGAGAAACTGCGAACATATGGAGGTCCCCAGTTGAGCTATTGATAAAGGTGACAATAGGAAGAAATACAGATAGTTGGGGGAGGTAGTACTTATACCTGGAATGGAGTGAATTATAATTTAGCAGGTCCATAGAATTAATTTTCATGCATTTTAACAGCTTGAGAATGCTCTGTGAAAAGCAGAACTAAATACATTACCCCCATGCTGCTAATCTGGAAAGAGACTGAGCATGAGAGATGCTGGGAAGGATGAAAGCAAGGGGGTGAAGGACACTGCTGCCCAGGGAGCTAAGTGGTTATCAGAAGGGATAGCCACTTGATGGCAAGGATGGACCCCAAGAGAGAGGGATGTGGGGTGAGCTGCAGGGCACTCCCCTTCCTCCTAGAATCTGCTCCCTCCACTCAGAGTAGGAGACAGTTCCTCAGAGCCTCCCCTGAAGTCAAACAGCAGCCCAGTTGGTGGGGTAGGGGGGGGCGTAGGGTAGTAGGAGTGGGAAGGAGGCCTCAGGAGCGTTCTTTGTGTAAGAAAAGTAAAATCCACAGTAGACTCAGGAACCCCATAAAGAGAACAGAAGAATGAGCCTTTGTATTAGGCACAGCTCTTTCTTTACATTGAAACTAGAAACACGAAAACTAAATTGCAGGCAGCTGCCTTTCTCCTTTCTTATTCTTCCTCCCTTCACACCGTGCCTAACTATGCAAACATCCGGGCCCTAAAAGAACATCAAATATTGGTTGGTGGAGTCTTAACATCCAGGAGCAATCCAGCAATGTTTACACAGGGTTCCTGGGAAACTCTTAGATTCCAAAAGCATTGCAAGTCTAATATTCCCCAGTGAAAGAGCACAGTCAGAGCCTCTGAACATTTCCTGAGGTAAATAAGACAACATTATTTGACCCTCAAATTTAAGCAGTGATTTGGGGAAGCTTTTACATGTTATTGGCATTTTCTTTTTTAGCATAGACATTATAAGAGACAAAAGTTTTATTGCTACTTAAGAAGGGATCCTTTTCTCTTAAATTAACTTCCTCTTTCTACTTGCACAATAAAAGGGGGTGTGTGTTAATAAAGCCAGTCAGATAGTGAGCTTGCTTGCCTCTTATGCTTGCGTGCCCCCCGCTAGTACCTTTCTTTCAGAGGGCTGTTACCTTTATCATGTACTTAGCAACCTTTTTTTTTTTAAAAAAAGTGAACACTGCCTCCTCCGTTTTACAGAAAGCAATGAGAATTGCACCACAGGAATGACACTAAAGGGATTGAGAAGAGATTGAAGTTCAAGTGCTAACAAATTTGAGTTTGTAGGTTGAGATATTGCCTGTGTGTCTCTTATCCCCTTCCCCATGTTCATTTTCTGATTAAGGCAACTGAGCACCTACCTCATTTTGGTTCCTCTTTCTTTTGTAGTTCCCCTTCCAGTTAGAGGCTCAGTACAGGGTAGGAAAAATTCTGACTGTTCTAGTTGTGTGTGTGTGTGTGTTTCTGTTTATAGACAAAATTGTCATTTTTGTATACATGCCTCTCCCCAGATAACTAGGTTATTAACTACTTGATAAGCAACCTCACATGCTTACTATCTTCAAAACCCAAGCAAGAAGCAAAATGTCTACCACAGAGTAAAAAAATGATGGACTGCTTTTTTTAAAAAGTATCACTGAATGAACGAATTCTTTGCTTCTGATTGAACCTGCTTGGAGGCCTTACTTAGTGCAGATGGATCCCAGGAAACCATGTTCCATGTGCAACTCAAGCTGCTTTTGTTTGATTTGGGGAGATAATCTATTTTTTACACCAGGAGTATAGACTGAAATATAAACGGGGATATTTTGCTCCCTCTGTATATTTTGGGTTCTAACCAGTCGCCATATATTATGTCAGTCCTTTCTTTCTGATCTCTCCAGGACAGAACGTTATTCCATCCTGTGAGCAACAGCTGCATGGATTGCAACCCCGCAGAGAAGAAGATTTTCATGGCCAGATGTGACCCCCTGTCTGAGACTCAGCAGTGGATTTTTGAACATATTAATATGACTGTTTTAGAAAAATTTAACCACCATGCCAGCTCCTAGAAGGGAAGAAGAAGGAGTGATGACCTCCAGATTCTAAAAAAAAAACTAAAATTTCTCCAGCACCGGGGTGGAAGGCATCGGGAATACCATTTCCTCGATCTAGGAAGCCTGGTTTAAAGGCCCGTCAATGCCACGTCAAAGTAGGTTGTCCTGGAGAACTTCCTGCATCTGAAGAACTTGGCGGAGAACCTCACCAGCTGCTTCTGAGAACTTGAGACTAGCAGTTCCCTTGCTGGCCAAGGGGGAAGATTATTTAGGGATGTTTCAAAACAACTGCTGAGTTAATAAATCCTAGCATTTCTCAGGTCAAATCCTGCAGTAGTGAGTAGCTATGAATGGATCCTATCATTCGGGTGGGAGGGGGGTGGAAATGGAGTGCATGACTGCTCTGACAACCTGAAGAGCCCGCAGGTGTAGAACTAGCCACGCTGAACGGGTGAGCTGGACTCTTTGGTGCCATTCTCTGACTAAGAATGGGTTAAGCAGGTTTAACCCTTAAAAGTGCTGCAGCTGATTTTAGAGTGCTCATACCATTCTGTTTTCTCGTTGTTGTTTTTTAAATGAAGGTGTGCTCTGTAATGTAAGACTTAAATTACATCATGAAACGGACTGCCAGTGTTTCCATTCTTGCACCGGCCATTTTCCTTTTCGGGCAGAAGTAACTTATTTTTCCTAAAAGTTCATGCTCCATCCGTCAGCTGAAGTTCGAATTCAGTGCCCCTGTATGAATCCACTTTAAAAACAAAATCAGAACACTATGCTACCCGGTTACTCCAAAGAGAATGATTTCACAGAAGCAGCAAAACTATGTAAGGTTTAGGAAAGGGATTTCCTTAGGAAATCGATTTTTACTTTTCTATTCTTTTTAGAATTCTAGAAGTCTGATGTTTGTCCAGTCACAATTTTTATTAAGGAAGGGAATGGAGTGAGGTTGATGTAATTTGTTTAAGGAGATTCTTAAACCCAAATAAATCTACACTCCAAGTGCCGTGTGAAAATGTCTCCATTCACTTCAATTCTGTTTGGTCAGTCCTCGGGACATAGTTTTGTTTGTTTGGTTTTAGATATTTTTTGTTTTATGTCACTGATATTAATGATGTTTTTGTTTTACTTGGACGTGCACCGAAGGAATTTCCATGAATAAAGTGCTTCTGACACTGTTTTCTGTAAATGGGACAATATTTCAGGGGTGAAGAAAGGAATGATTAAAAAGCTAAATGGAGCATTTAATCCTTAAGACAATTTTTTTTTTACTTTTCAATAATAATGGGGGTGGGAAAGGAATATATAGAGAGACCAAGATGGGTCTTTAGAAAAAAATTATGTTTATTTTACATTTCTCAAGTTTTTTCAAGTAGAAAGAAGTGTTTATTTTGCTTTCATTGTTTTCTCTTAATGTGGTTTCCTTGTTAAAATGTATACGTCGTCTTGGATATAGAAGCAGTGAATTTTAGAGTTGGGAAGACTTAGTCCAATCCCTTTGTTTTTATCGATGAATGACACAAGCCCAGAGAGGATGGCCCTCCTTCCTGGCAGGGCAGAGGGGTCTTCTGAGCCTGCTCCAGTGCTTCCTCCTGCTCTGTGTCGCCTCACTCTGCTACCCGAGGCGGTTCTGATTATTCCTCTGATTTAACTCACCATTTCCCATCACTAGATGAAACCTCACACCTCCCTGGGGATGCCTACAAGAGGAGCATTCACACTCAGAAGCTTCACTATATGAAACCTCTTCTTGTAAATGTTCGTGGTTTTGTTCTCTCCTCAAAATCTAATCAAAATGTCCAGTTAAGCTGCCCTGCTAATAGTTGGGGAAGAGCTATTTTGTTATCTTTACTGATTTTTCAAGCATTCTTTTGAAGAACTCTTCTTTTTAAACTGACAGATTTTTTTGAGTAGGTCAAGAGATCTTGAAGGTTTCAAGATGCATAGTAGAGAAAATCAATAGTGAAAAATGAACCTGTGTACTGGGCAATTCAGAGAGTGAGGGAAGCTTTGTCTCAAGTGTTCAGAGAGCAATCTGGTTTTAGAAGTAGAAGTGCCTATAAAAATTCACATTATGTCATTAATCAGTTGACTGCTATTTACACTTCTACGCAAGCGTCAACGTTGGGTCCTGCACCCTGGACAGCTGTGTTAGATGCTCTAATCATGGGAAGCTAGCCATAGCATGTTGGCCACTGTCCTCGGAGAAAGTCTGGATATTGCATCATTTAAATGTAACCTGCAGGATCAACAAAGATTGGTTTCCTGATTATAGATAAACTACCTTTGGGATCTAATCTCAACTTTGAGTCCAAGGGCGTAATGTAAAAATTTAAAACTAACAAAACAAACAAAACAAAAAAAACTTAAGAGAAGCTTGACACAATCAAAGCCAAAATTGAAACTTCAAACTGCCAAAAAATTGTTAAATGTTTGCAAATGGGAACCATCCCAATAGAATAAAATGAAGCCACAAGAAGCTCCCCCTAAGCAGCAGGGCCAGGCTCTGGCAATAAGCACATGTCAGGAGGCATTCCCCATACCACCCAGGGTTGGGACTCTACTTGAAATACCACCATTACCATTCTGAAAAGTAGGAAATTACATATGTCGGTGTATCTATTTGGCCAAGAGGACTGAACAGATTTCAGAAAGATTCTCTTCTCTGGAAAGAACATGATTTAGATGCTGATCAGTACTCAACTGTTCAGAATGAGAGGGAAAATGTCATAAACTTCATCTGACCTCAAAAATTACTACTTCTCCATAAGAGACGGCTTTGTCAGAAGTTAGGAAATAGTTAATTTTTCAAATCCTTGTTGTGTATTTACTGAGAAAAGTCTGTGCTGGAAAACAGTTGTGAACTAATTGTGGGATTTATACTTTGTTCCAAGGCTGGATTAGCACCATGGCAATAACGATGTATTGGTGTCTATGTCTACTACTAGTATTTAGTTCAAAATATTAATGTGATCACATGACTGGTTTTAAATGTATTCATTATATCCGAGGCCTCAGTGAATAATGCCAATTAAAGGATTATTTTGTGAATTAATAACAGAGAGCTTTATAAAATAAATGCATAACATATATTGAAAATGGATTTATAACCAATAAAGGAGAATGTTAGGCCCATCCTATTCTTGATCTTGCAAAACATAAAACCAATGCCAACATTTGACATCATTTCTTTTAGGGGCAATTATATATGGTTGGTTGTTTTTCTTAAAGTAAAAACACCCAAACGGTCAATAAAGGGCATATAAATAACTACTTTGTGCTTCTTGCCATTCCATAAAAAAAGATAACTTCTATTTCGATCCTTTTATAACTATCTACACAAGAATGGCAAAAAAAGGATTTTTTTTTATTGGAAAAACCAGCACTGTTTATGTCAGACCAATCAAAAGAGCCATTGGCACTTTATGAAGGCCACAGTCCAGTCAAGGAAGGCCATATCCACCACTGTATTGACATTCCCTGCCCAGGACCTCACACACCTGAGGACCAGGACAGAACTGATGGCAAGACTTTGATATCCCCCTGCTTTTGACTTCCCATCTGAAGTGTTACAGAATCTTTCCCAGGAGTGGACAGTTCCCCCGGCCTTCAAATGCTGCCGGGTTATATTATTCAGAATTTGGAACCATCCTAATAATATGTGATTCTTGTGAACCTTGATTTATCCCTGGCAAACCGTTTAGGAAGGCTGTAATATGCTTTCATAAAGGGGTGCTGGAGATAAGGCAGTCAGGCCTGGGAGTAAGGCATTTTATATACACCCTGAGACAGAAAACCTCAAAGGGAAAGTATTTTTAAGTGATTCCCTCTGATTCTGGGAGTAAATATAAATGGCAAGAGGTAAATTGTATCTCTACACGTGGGTGCACATAATCCTCTCCATCCAGCTCGTCGACAAGTTCTTCCCTTGCCATCATAACTCTCAGATGACACCACTAACTGTAATTACTCTCCATGTGTGGAACTGTGGCGAGGACGCCGAAGCGTGACAAGTGGCCGGTCTTCCCCACACTGCCGACATTGGAGGATTGCTCTTTGATTAATGTCTGTAGCCTTTGCTTGCAGAACTGGGAGCTGTTTGCAACTCTATTTGGTAGACTTGACATTGGCCTGAAGCTTTTATTCGCAGCCACTCATCTATCCACTTGACGCACCAGGCTGGCGTGTCTGGTACTGTGACTTAGCAGACAGCAACCGGGGCACATGTTTGGCACTTCGCTTCAGAGAGGGAGACCTGGGAGCACTTCTCTGTCCCTCCTGCCTGAAGTTGCCCCCTCCAGCTCACCCCACAATAGCCTGCCAAGGTTCCCGCAATCTGCCACTCTCCACATTTGCTTGTTCCAATAGTGATGTGACCGGCCTCAGTACAGAAAGGCAGGCTACATTTCAGAATGTTGTTGTGGATGATTTGACTCTGTCCTTGTATTCACCTTGGGGAGGATTGTTTATCACTAAGTGACATAGGTCCTGGTTTACCAGGGACACTCCTGCTTTATGCCTGCTGTCCTGCGTAATTACTGATAGTGCCCCCTTTTACTCTTAAAAGTGTCCTAGTTTGTATAGCAAAGTATACGGTGGCTCTATCTGTAATACTAGCCTGTGTACTTCCTGGTTCCGCTAGGGACAGTTCAAACACCCTTTACTTATCAATGCCTGTCGTCTACAAGAAATCAGCTAGTCTCACCCCCGCCCTTCAAACAGGACCAGATAAAACCAGTTATATTTGATCATTGTCTATTGCATTCACATGTTCCTTTACAAGTTGCTTAATGAAACCCTTTTAATAAGAGTTCTTCCACTCATCTTAGTCTTTTTTTTTTCTGAATTAAGACAATTCTAATTTAAATGTTTTCTTAATTTAAAACTTTTTATTTGAAGTCCACTAAGTTATTTTATACTTTTTCAGGCTAAAAAGCAGGAGGTCCTCACTACTAGCCATATTATTAATTCTCAGTGTTATGGTAAGGGATAGAGATAGATGGAGAGAGAGAGAGAGGCGTTCTATCTGACATTGATCATATGACTATTCTTATGAAGAAGTTGGAGGGCTCAGAGTCAAGGGGTTGCCAGGTCAAGGTCATACAACAAGTTAACAGCAGATCCAGAACTAGAATTCAGGCCTTTTGATGCTTAGTTCTCAGCCTTTTCAACTCTCCCCCATACTTCATACCTCAGTAGAGGGTCATGAGTCCACAGCAAAACCAAATATGAGATGTATTGAGTGACTTTAAAATAATGTGAACTATCATTTCTTGGGGGGCTATGTTCTTAACCCCTTAATCATGTTTGCTCTTCTCTGTGCCTGTGTATTTTTGTTGGTTTTCCCACAAGCTTATTAAAGTAAGAATACCAAACTGAATTCAGGATTAGCCCCTCTTAATAAGATTTCCAAGGTACTCTGAAGAAAAGAAGTGATCGACTAAAGCTATTTGCATAGTTCTGTATGAAAAATCCTAAAGCAAATACTGCATGCTTTGTGATTATTAATGGGTTCAGCCCTCAGCAGGGAAAAAACAGCCACCAAGCAAAGATTTTGCACTTACTATGCAATAATGCTCCAAACTGACCTTCTTTCATTGTCCTTATTTCTGTATCCTGTTCTGCCCAGTTCACCTCAGCCATCTGAAACTCTTAAAATGCCCTGATGTGACTTCCCTGGGCGGCAGTTTCTCACTTCTGGGTATCCTGGCAAATATGTAAATAACTAGGCCTTACCTCAAATCTACTAAGTCTGAATTTCTTGATAAGGCTGCTAGACACAGAAAAGTCTACAACTGAAAAGGTAATGAATTGCTTTGTGCTCCACTCTGAATGTCTTACCACTAGTGAACAAGTTACTTCTCTGACAGGGTTGTCTTGCTCACATACAGGGACTGCAAATGTCTGAAGGAAAGGTCAGTTGGAATCCAAAGCTAAACTTAGGTTGAAAGAAACAAACCCAAGAGCATTTTCTTTCAAACATCTTCTAGTTTTTCTTAGGTCATTGGTTATTAAACCTTAGCATTTAAGCACCTGGAGGGATAGTTACAACACAGATGGTTAAAACTCTGGGCCACACACCCCAAGTTTCTGATTCATTCCATCTGGGATGGGGCTCAAAAATTTACATTTCTAGCAAGTTTCTAGGTGATGGTGATCCTGATGGTTTGGTATCCACACTTAGGCTTAGATTAATAGTCTCACCATTTTGAAAATGCCTTTTTAAAGATAGTCTTATTA